CTGAAGAGTGTCAGGGTCTCTTCCAATACGTCAATCTCGTCAGCATTGTGCGAAGATCCAGGGGCATCGCTTTTGGGAATCTCGTACATTTTAGCGGTAAATAATTGGAACATCTGTTGAGTAGGCTCAAAGGAAGTACAACGGAGTTTTCTCACGTAACAATGAATACGAATCCTCAGAATCGCAGTCAACATATCGATCTGCATTTTATTCCTACACTTGATTTTGACGCAATTCATCACTGAGAAAACTCTCGACCACTGCATTGCTGACTGGCAGCGAAAGCATTTTTAAAACTGTTCCAGCCAACTCCTTGACCACCTGTCAACCACTGCCATTTTTAAATGTATAAGCATGAGACCAGAATTTGGATGTATCATTCAAAATTTCCCTAGAAAAATGGTCATTCCAAGGAATCAGATTGATGTCTCTCAACTGATTATCGATTGCTGTGAGATCACTGTCCTGGATGAATACCGGTGGTATATCGTTAATTGATGGTTTGGTGGCTGGAGACAAAACTTTCACCGATGCAAACTTTGAAACGTCTTTCAAGATTTTCAAATTATTCGGCATACGGTTCACAAGCTGCTCACATAAAGTCAGAAGGTATTCTCTGCATCTTCGAGACACTTCTGTGACAACCTCTGGTGGTACTTCGTCATTTACGGTTGCACGATGAAATTCCACCCCCAGATTGACTTCGTCGATTGACTTCAGTGCTAGCGTATTATTCAGTGCTTCACTAATTACAGTGACACACTGAGTAGTTTGAGCTTTTTCAATGAATAAAGGTTTAATAAAACGAGTAGCCACTGAGAGAATGAGGGTCCATAAACTATCGAAAAGTTCATAAATATCGCGATCCGTGCTTTGAAATAGGAGATTTACTTCAGTGACTCCCTGGAGGATGGATTTCAGGAAAAGTAAGTATAAGTGATTGGCTGGATCGTTATAAATTTGAGCCAAGTGTCTAGCAGTTAGACATTTGTCCTGATTTTTAGTAGCAATCATAGAAAAATGAGTCTTTAACTCCAACCATTGATCCAGAATACGTCTCACTACTCCATTATACGCCAGCCATCTTGTGTCGCATAGTTGTATTAGAGCCAACAGTTTCTTGTTATTGTCATTGATAAGATTGAATAATGCCCGGTATTCTTCCATTCGTTTTGCACTCAGACAAAACCAATTTCGTGACTCTCGTATCAAATACTCCAAATGAGCAGGGAGAACGTCAGCAGCTTTCGAAGCACACAGATTTAAAGAGTGACATATGCAGCGAATGAGGATCAAATTAGGTAACGGTATGTTATCCCTTAACAGGGTAAATACTGAGTGATTAACACCAACCATATTGCTTGCGCCATCAGTTCCAATAGCGATCAAATTTTTCACAGGAAGATTGATGCTGTTTAAGTATGACGTAATATGTTGATATAAACAGTTTGATGTGGTTTCTGTCACGCTCACGATACCCAAGAAGTCGGTGGTTATAGCTCCTTCTTTCTCACTGATGTACCTGATACATAGAGCCAAATATTTCTGGACCGGTACATCAGTCGATTCATCAATAATAAGAGAGTATTTTCTATCACCAATATCTTCCACAAGAGAACTCAATATTGTTGGAGATAGTACGTTTTTCAAAAGTTGAGAACATTTTGTTCGATGAAGACGTATGGACTCAAGTTGACTCTTTTTTCCCAACTTCTGAACAATTTCTCCTAAATGGTCGATGGTTCTGACTGCACTGTGTAGTGCAACAAAAACGGATAGTTTTATCTCTGCTAATTTCGTAGCATCTCCAACCACATTAATCCCGAACGTTGAAATTGGCCTTTGATTGTTGAGAGATTCAGCGAATCGACGATGTTTCTGGGTTACGGCGTGGGCCAGCAAATCTGTCTTATGTGCTCTTAGGCCTACTTTGCAAAACTTACAATAAGCTTCTTGTCCTAATGCATTGGGATCTGGATTCTTTGATATCCAAGCTGGGAAATGAGAAACTTACCGGAAGGTTAACACTAGAGACATAATATTTATTCGTCTGAAAGAACGATTTACCCTCACCTGCCATCTCAGGTGCCAATTCCCAGGATTTGTTGTAATGTTTTTCATATTTCCCATGTTTACCCATTTTCATATATATATTTTGTATTTAAGTTGTGATCATCGATCAAAATCAAGTATAAACACGCTTGACAGTTGTGGAAACCGAAAGACCCCAATGGATGTCCGACACATGCAAACGCACCCAAAACTGTACCGACAAAAGGGTCAACTGGTGACGAATTATTGAACGAATTTGAATTTTTAATGATCAAGAAAATGTCATTTCGCTTGTAAATGACGTAAGAGATTTGTTTAAAATAAAAAAAAAAATCAAATTGAGAATACGCCTAAAATTGCATAATGCAAAAAAAAATTGCCTAATTGGGCGATGGGCTAGAAACCTCAATCTCATACCGCCTTCCAGACTTCCCACCTCGCCTAAACGGCGGTAAACCGCCCAATCGTGCCGAGTTACTCTGTCGCGTAAACCACTAGTTACCATATAGAGTCCCTATGACTACCATTATTCCACTAGATTATACCATTGAGATTCAAATATTTTTATCTGATAATTTTATAAATCCAATATTATTTTTAAGCTAGTTGAAATATTCCCACGGTTTTGGAAACAAGAAAATATAGAATTTTGGAAAGTAAGTTCGAGAAACTCGTAAACAGTAAACGAGTAATAAATCTAAAGAGTCTCTCGACGTAGCTCTTGCCATCCAAAAATAAAAGATCCTTTGTATTGTTTTTTTTATATAGAGTTTTCGAGTGCAATTCTAGCTTGACATTAAACCGTTCGAGTCGTAAAACCTTTTCCTGGAGACAGTTTATTTTCCCCGGGTGAAATTCAAGCATTTTCTGTCTCCCAAAAAACCACATGTAAGGCCCTTTGTTCAAGTCACGTAGACTCGAGAGTTGGGGCTGGGCCAGCTCGAGCGATCGCGGGGGTGTTAGACCAACACTGTTCACTGGATTCAAGGCCACGATTGGTCCCCTACTCTTTTCTGTGGGATGAGCCCTTCATCTTCGACACTTAGCCTAATTTTTAGAGTAGGAGTAAGTGCAGATCCACCCCATACGTGGATACGAGAAGTTCGAGAGAAATTGTTGTCGTCTTCTCAAGTTTTAAAAACCCAAAGTGTTGTTGTAAAATATCTTCTAAGTTTTGAAAAGTAAATATAAACGTTTCGATTGGATTATCTAATTAAATTGGTGTTCGTGTTCAATTATTTTTATTCGAAAATTCCCGCACTTGTGGAGCAGAGTGCTTTAGCGCTCCACGGGCATTGGACCTGCCATCTGTTCAACGGAGAACCACCCAAGCAGCACAGTTCTGGAGGGTATCTGCAAGTATACCAAAAAGGCTGTCTAATGTCTGTCCAAAAAGGTAACTTGTGTCTAGAAGTTACCTAGAAGTTAACTAAAAGTTATCGTATGACTGCAAGATACCTATTGGACGGACATTAGTCTGCCTTTTTGGTATACTTTCAGATATCTTTTGCAAGGTTTGCTACTTGGGCAGCTTGGAACGTAACAACTCAAGCACCCGACTCATTTACCGACAATTCGACCGGGACGCCGCTTTTCCCGTGGGGTACCAAGAGAATCAGAACAAGTAATGCCATCTCTGAGATACACTGAAACGAAAACTCCTAAGGTACCTTCCTGCAATATCATATTGACGGTAATATACCGACATTTTTAAAGACCGACATTTTTCGGACTAAATGAAGTTTCTTCGATTCNACTAAATGAAGTTTCTTCGATTCGAAATTTATACTTGCACAGTATGTCCAAGGTATAAACTCTGATGGATGGAACAATTATCATAATGATACGATAGAATTATAAAATCATGAAGAATTCAGGTGTTGTATTGCTTATACCATGTATAGCTCTTTTTGTCGACCTGTACAGTATCGTAAATTAATTAAATTAGCAGCAAGAACATTTTCACTTAACTGCGATAGCACGACTATCAATATCTCACTGATTTGAAGTTGGTATCTATTCCGATGAAAATGAAAGTAAATTCTCCTTTTTCGAAAATTGACTGCTGATTATCTTGGAAATGAATAGAATTATAAGCAATTATTTTTAGTGAGTATAATACTTCCACGTATCATACTTCCAAAAAACGATCCAGGTAGGAACAGTTGCATTTGGCTGAAGCATGATAAAGAGAGTTTGCAGGATATAATTTGATACCATGCAGTCGATTCACGAATAAAAGGAAATATAATCTCACTTTTTGGTGGAATACTCGGAATCACATACGTATTATTCGAAAATTGATATTAATGTACATTCTCACTGAAGGAAAATTGTTTTATCCACTTATGTGTAATTTTTTATTCTTTTACAATTTCAAATTTTGTGAGAAGACAAATTTTTCGAGCACCATTTCAGTAAACAAATTATTGAAGCGTACAACTGAATGTCCCATATTCAATCGGATATGAACGGTTATGAGACTATTATCAATTTGTACCAACCATAGTGATAGAAATGTTTAATTATGAAAAAGGAGCTTTGTGAAACTTTAATATCACAAAATATGCTTGTTTTCAAAGCTGTCCACCGTTGATATGTAGATATTTTGACAGCGTTTCGTTGTACACCGTATGGACCATGAGTATATTTGAATTTTGGCGCTTCTATTGATATGTCACTAGCAAAGTGGCGGTCGTGGTGGTCACCCCTTGGGGTCACTTCAACCCCGAGATCTGAACCTCTACTTCAGTCAATCCTCTTTGGAGAACACCATGAAGAATTCTCTATTCTTCATGGAGAACACCTTATACCACTCAGAGATTATAAGGCACTGGCTCCAACGGAAAATTTTCGCCAACTCTTCTTACCCTCGTAAGATGCCGCCACCTCCCTCAGCGTATATAAACTTCCGGTTGAATGATGAAGGCGCTGCCGAGGTCCCGTGATTTCTCAGCGCGAGTACGACTCGGTGGTTCAACGAGACATGTTCTCGTGTCCATTTTTTTCCTGAAAAAATTGCCAACCCCATTTACGAGGTGTCTTTTTCTCCCCGTGGTGTAAAAACGCCCGCAGATCGTGCGACACTCACCATCACAACAATTCAAATCTTCGAATTAATTACCTCGAGTGCAAAGTGGAGTAATACGTGAAATTGTAATCATGTCCGCGTGTCCAAGAATTCAGCAGGCGAATGGTGATGGCAATTTGTCATCACCTAGGAAAAAACAGAGGACAACAACTTCGACAAATGAAACGAAGGTCACGGTTGTACTTGGGGCACAATGGGGGGATGAGGGAAAAGGCAAGGTGGTGGATATGCTTGCTGATGATGCTGATGTTGTCTGCCGGTGTCAGGTAAGATTTTTTTGTGCTCCGAAATGCAAAAAAATTGAATCTTTATTTTCTCACTTTCTGCTGAAGATTTCAATATTAAACTCTTAATTTTTACAAATCTTTTTTTGTGCACCAAAAAAATCTTGTACCCGCATTTCCTGTTTCAAAAATAAAAATTGGTATTTTTCCTTTGTTTAATATTTTTTCTTGTACCAAAATAAAATAAATAGTGGTGTGATTCTGGTTATAAAATAAAAAATCTGATCCTTTTCCGTGAACACTATTTTGATGTATGTGAGGCCTATATGAAATCCTCACATGTACTTGAATATCATAATTTTTCAGTAATTAGATTCTCGTCCGTACGTAGGAGTGTATTCGCATCGTATTACTTCTTCGTATTAATTATTTCCGATTGTTCTATTTAGACGTGTTTCGACGTCATCTTTACAACCTGTGTGTTGTAACTAATGTGAAATAGATGGGGTGGGGGTGGCGGCAGACCTTGAGCGTTGATTTTGAGAGCAGTTATTATTTTTAGAGTTTCCGATGGCTTCAGAACCTGCCAATTGTCAGCGGCAACATGTAAAAGTGGTTTGTCGGTATGAATATCTTTACTCTGTTGGTAGGGTAAACGGGTCAATTTATGGAGGGGGGTTAGTTTCTGGACGGTTTCAACTTGCATTGAATATTCCATAAATAAAATGAAAATTGTACTGATTATTTCACCTTTCAATACTCGTAATACTTTCAGAATTACTTGTGTTTGATCATATGATCATTTATTTTTCCTATTGATTGACATTTAATAAATAAAATATGGCCCAGTCGTCCGGAAATTAGGGGTTTCGGCTGCATTCAACTATTTCCTAATTTAATTATTCTTTTTTTATTTTCACTTCAAATAATTTTTTCTGCTAATTAAAACATTCTGGAAGGTATGGAAGTCATCGTATCCCCATTTAGGTGATTCTTTTATTTTAGATCCTACCACGAAACTCGAATTTCCCTTAACCGTCTAACAATTGGCCTGTTCACTCTAGTACTCCCTCCATAGAGCCTTGAGAATAACAATCGGGAGATTTCGGAAGAAAAATGGTATCGTTTTTCTTTCTTATTTATGCCTGGACTTGATTTATGTCTGATTGTCTAGGGAAAATTACCGCAGTTAATGAGGCGACTTGTTAAAATATGTAATTTAATGATAATAAATTATGATGTGACGCAGAAACTGCACTTTGGTTCTGCGAATGGAAATTAATAGTGACAAATCATTGAGATTAAGACTCGGGGAGAAAGGACAAGCTGTTGAATACCAGTTCACTCCAGTTGATTAATGACTTTTATCTGTGACTCGTGTAAAGGATACAGCAGAGTGAGAGATTGTGGATTTTTATGTTGTGATAATAGAGTATTTTTTATCAGGGAGGAAATAATGCTGGACATACGGTGGTCGTTGACGGAGTCTCCTTCTTCTTTCACCTATTGCCTAGTGGAATTATCAATCCAAAATGCAAGTCAGTTTTAGGTGAGAATTCTATTTTTATTTTTGAACAAAATATTTCTCTGCTCTTTCACCGTATTTATTTATGCAGGATGTCCTTCTTTCATTCACCATGAAAAAATTAATTGCGTTTCTTTATAAAAATAAAAAAATTGAGAGCATTAAATTTCAGGACACTTGTGCAAAATGCATTATAAAAATTAATGATAGATTAACCCGTCAGTAGGCGCGTTATAAGACTTTCTCACAAAAATTTTCACTCCATAGGAAATATACCCTCCTAAAAGCGCAAATATTTGTCTGAAATTTTTTTAAATGCCTCAAGTAACTCTTCTAGCTTACTTTGATGGTGATAAAAGTCGTCTATCGGTTAGGATTGAGTAGAAAATAGCATATTTCGATACGAGTGTGACGGAATTTTCAACACGTGTGAAGTTGCTAATCACACGAGCTAAAAATTCCCATCTTACATTTGTCGAACAATATTTTTTGACTGTTGCATTTACTCGCAAACGAAAAAGGTACAGTTCGATCACTCGCTGAACGTAACATCACTATCGAACAATATTGTTCGACACATGTCAGACGGGAATTTTCACGGGGGTGAAGTTCATACGAGAAATATACTATTTTGATACTGCTGCTATGTTCACCTCGTGCCGAAAAGTGCCGTTTCGTTTATTCGTAAACGAAAAGTCTTTTCGTTGACTTGCAAACGAAAAAGGCACAGTTCGACCACTCGCTGAACGTAGCATCACTGACAAAAAATTTTCACGAGTGTGATTGGCCCGAGGTGAAGGCGAGGGCTGCCGACTTTACACTCGTGAAAATTCCGTCTCACTCGTATCGACTATTTGACTATTTCTTCGGCCCGGCCGAAATTTTCCACGTGTTACGGGTACGGAACTCGTACCCCTAAACCCTGAACAGCGCCGACTGTCGATATTTGGCTCTATTTTGACGAGAAGCTGATGAGATTCTCTCATCGCGCGCCTCAAGAATGCTGGTGGAACCGCACGCCTACTGGCGGCTTCAGAAAATCAATCGATCATAAAGTGATCAATCTCTTGGAATTTTCAAACCAGATTGATACTTTTGATTGTTAAAATCTGTTCAGAAAAAATGAAAAGAAAAAAATCAATGTATACCATCGCCGAAAACAAGAAACACATATATTTCAATATAGAGGTCAGGTGCTTCCGATTGGTTTCAATACGAAATTGTGCATCTTTTATGAGCTGGAAGGATGACTATAAGGGTGGAAGTTAATAAATATTTTCCAGTAAATGATCTATGAAGTTGGAAGAAATCGACCGAACTGGATAAATAGTATCCATCAAGGTCTAAATATGGTTACATACAGCTCTAAATAACACATGAAAAACTCAACACAAGAATAATAGATGTTAATCTTACAACAAATATCGGGGCTTTTTAGGGTTAAAACCAACTATGTCCTATGGAGTTTCAGAAAATAATAAGTTTCCTAAAATTGCCATATTTAATAATATATTAATACGGTTTTTATCGTTAAGATAGTACAGTGAAGATTAAAAAGAAACATCCTGTGTTAGTGAATATCGTCGCAATGTCACCAGAACTATATAACATCAATACTTAGGCTATCGAACATCAGCCGGACTCAGCATTTTAGAATAATAGATTTCATTATTAATAGCGTTTTTCTTGACATGTTTGTTTTCTAACTTGAAACGCCTTTTTTTGTTTTCACTTTCGACGTGTTTCTTAGAAATTGAAATTTCCATAAAACAATTGAATCCTATTACATTATAGTAATAGGGTTCAATTGGGGGAAATAGGGGAATAGTATACTATTCTGTATTGAAATGACATGTGTTATTTTGACATGTAACAACTAAATATATTTGAAAGTTCAATGAAATTCAATGAAACGTATTTCCGCAATAAAAATATGTGTTCAGATTCAAGCGTTCAGAAAGATGCATGCATTCTCACATTCAGATAAACACCTGAAGGTATAAGGCCTAGAATTTCTTATCGGAAGTAAACATTTTTATGACCCCAATACTCGCAAAATGGAGTAAAATACTGGGAACCTAGAAACAGTTTATCGAGATTATGGAGATAAGAACAATACAGGATAGATCGTGGAAGCATTATTAAACCTGATGAAACCCTCGAGCATCACATAATTGCAGCAACAATTCAATTGCATTAACATTCCTTTAACTATGGATCTCTTCATTCCAATGATAACTGGGGAATTACCCATTCGCAATAATTTTTTGTTCCACTTAACCTTTGTAATACTGTTACAATCGATAAAATACTCAGAAACTCGAGTAAACTATAAAATACGACTGCTATAAATAAGATACAAGTAGTCGCCTGACGAAACTCATTACTCAGGCATCGATGAAACTCACAATCAAAATTAGTTACTAGCGATAAATAAATTTCACCGCATGGTCCCTGATTATTCCAGGGAATGGAGTGGTCATTCACTTGCCGGGGTTGTTCGAGGAGCTTGAGCAAAATGAGGCAAAGGGCCTCAAGGACTGGCAGAACAGGTTGATCATCTCCGATCGTGCTCACATTGTCTTTGACTTCCATCAGCAGGTCGATGGCATGCAGGAGCTGGAGAAAGGCACACAATCCCTTGGAACAACGAAAAAAGGCATTGGCCCCACGTACTCGAGTAAAGCCACCCGGAATGGATTGAGAATTGGGGATCTTCTCGGAGATTTTGATAAATTTTCGGAAAAATTCAAGACTCTGGTGCTCCAATATCAGAGGATGTTTCCATCGCTTCAGGTCGACGTTAATTCGGAATTAGAGCGTTATAAGGGGTGAATAATATTACCAACAATAATAGTAGAACTAGAAATGTTCGCGGAATTGCTCAATGCATCAAATTAGGAAATGCTAAACGATCGAATTTATCCTTTTCCATAAGAGAAACAATCATCTTTTAATTGTTTTTCGTTGATTTATTAGCCTACATTTTTATCACTGAAGTATTGAGTATTGTTAATTGGTCGAGCAGTTCGTTAAGGTATTGATAGAAGCAATAGCTACATTCAGGGTATTGTATTATTGTTGAAATCTGCATTGAGACTATAAATTAATTAGTGAAGTTGAGTTTTCTTATTAAACTGCACTATTTATTAAAAATTCTGTCAAATTATTGAAGAATGAAAAATAGTAATTTAAATTACATTAGTGAAAAAATTACAGTTGGAATGGCATAATTGAAATATNAAAAAAAAAAAAAAAAAAAAAAAAAAAAAAAAAAAAAAAAAAAAAAAAAAAAAAAAAAAAAAAAAAAAAAAAAAAAAAAAAAAAAAAAAAAAAAAAAAAAAAAAAAAAAAAAAAAAAAAAAAAAAAAAAAAAAAAAAAAAAAAAAAAAAAAAAAAAAAAAAAAAAAAAAAAAAAAAAAAAAAAAAAAAAAAAAAAAAAAAAAAAAAAAAAAAAAAAAAAAAAAAAAAAAAAAAAAAAAAAAAAAAAAAAAAAAAAAAAAAAAAAAAAAAAAAAAAAAAAAAAAAAAAAAAAAAAAAAAAAAAAAAAAAAAAAAAAAAAAAAAAAAAAAAAAAAAAAAAAAAAAAAAAAAAAAAAAAAAAAAAAAAAAAAAAAAAAAAAAAAAAAAAAAAAAAAAAAAAAAAAAAAAAAAAAAAAAAAAAAAAAAAAAAAAAAAAAAAAAAATTGAAATAATGCAAATTGTAATGTCGTGGTTTACATACCGTACCACCTTGTCCATAAGATATTCATAGATAATATTGTCGGCTATAATATTCTAGAAATGAATAATTGTGTTATTTCATTGCGTAAACTATTGTCGGAGACGCTGTTTTTTCCTTTATTGAAGCTCAAGTCAATGAATTCGCTAGTTCAAAAATAATGAACATTTTTCAGTGAACTGAGAACGAGATTTGTTGTTGGATAATTCAAACCTTTTTTCAATCAATCATAAATTGGCTTTATAGACTTTCAAATGTAACTACAATAATATCAATTAGGGCTTAATGAAGGTTCAATTGAGGGAGTACTATTAATTCATCAAATTAGTACGAAAAAATAACAGTATAAATTGAAATCATGCGAAAACTGGTGGCTCACATCTATGCGCAAATCTTATAGAGCTAAAAAATTATTTTACTTTTCTTTCAATGGGCACCATTTGATGTCATTCGTACTTCTCAATAGATTCATACATCTTATACAGCTGTCAGAAGCATGGGGACATGAGTTTTTAGTTCTTTTGATCCTAGTTTTGACTAAGAATTTTGAGATATCTTCGTTGTAAAGAAATTCCAAATACCCTTATGTTATTCTCAGCAGTTTTATGTTCTAAGGACAATGTGTTTAAATAGAACACTACCATCATAATTATTCGTACATAATTATTCATTTGCTTCATTAGAATTTTCTAATAAATTAGAATGATATGGAATTCACTGAACTGAATTAATCTGAAGCCGTTTCCTTAACATTTCCTCTTGTTCTCGTTTGAAGTTATGCTGAACGCGTGAGGCCACTGGTGAAAGAGACAGTCTACTACCTCCACAGTGCTCTCAAGGCTGGCCAAAAGGTCCTCGTAGAGGGTGCCAACGCCGCCATGTTGGACATTGACTTTGGTACCTACCCATACGTAACGAGTTCAAATTGCAGTATTGGAGGAGTTATCACTGGTCTCGGATTACCTCCAGCCACCATCGGGGAGACTATCGGTGTCGTCAAGGCTTACACCACCAGGGTCGGCGATGGGCCCTTCCCAACAGAGCTCACGGATTCTACTGGGGAGATTCTGCAGACCCGTGGGAGAGAAATTGGAGTCACAACGCGCAGGAAAAGACGATGTGGCTGGCTAGATCTGGCGTTGCTCAAGTTCACGACCATGGTTAATGGGTAAATATCTTTTTTTTTTGAGTTGATGATTGACTTTGATGAAAGAACTATTGAATGCAAGCCGACAATCTTCGGGACATAATCGATTTTTTTAAAGAAGTAGGGGAGAATGGGACAAAATGAAACAGTCGAAAAATGACTGTTTGATGTAATTCAAGCAAAAAAATTTTGTTTTGTTAAATTTTTTTTTTATCAGCTTTTTTTACTATTGGGAGTACTAATGAGAATAATAATTTTCTATTCATCTTATAATTTCATTAATTATAATTCAATTGATTAGATTAGGCCGATTACACTTTTCTTTCTCATTCGATTAAAAATCAGCATCCCATTTTCCTTTTTCCTCCTCTGAGTCTCTCCTTGGGCCTTCCTCTGGGCCTTCCGCTGGATTTTGCTGTTTCATTTTGTTTTCAACTACTCCATTGACAAAATCTTCTCTCGTCAAAACTTGTCTATAATTTTTTATTCTACTGAATGGAAAATTATTATTCTCATTAGTACTCTCAAGAATAAAACAAAGTTGATAAATTAATTTTTTTTAAATTGACAAAAAAAAATTTTTTGATTAAATTGCGTCAAGCAGTCATTTTACCCGACTCTCCCCTAATTCTTTCTTATAGAATTTTTTTTCTTTTTTTTATCGTTATTTTACATCGCTTCGACCCGGTTAGGGTATACTGCGATGATGATCAAGACTTTAAATGGTTAGATCGCACCATTCTACCCGGCCGGGATTTGAACTCGGAACCTTTCGCATGTGAGGCAACGAACTTACCCACTGCGCCAAGCCAGCGGGCCTTTTTCTTAAAGAATGTGGTTGAATATTTACTTTCTTTGTAAATCACAAAGAATGAACCAGAGCGTAAGGAAAAATAGAGCAGTTCAAACATTTTGTGACACGGACTATCACTGTCAGATGACAGATGTAAATATGACCATTTTTGTCACATGACTAAATTAATAATTCTACCATGTCTCTGCCATTTATACCACCACAAACAATTTTTTTTTTAGAATTTCCTGTTTCGCCTAAAAACTCAATTTCTATGTTATAATTGGTTTTAGGTACACCGCACTTTGTTTAACGAAATTGGACATCCTGGATACACTTCCAGAATTGAAAATATGCACTGGATATCGTCTCAATGGGAAAGAGATTGAATATTTCCCTAGTACAGCGTCGGATCTTGCAAAAGTCGAGCCGGTTTATGAAACTATCGAGGGTTGGAACTCGATGACAGAGGGTGTTCGTTCCCTTGACAAATTACCTGTGAATGCTCGCAAATTTGTGAGAATAATTGAGGAAAATTTGAATATTCCAGGTAAGACGAATAAAATAGAGGAATATTTTTTTGTACACAAATATGTATATTTTGAATGATCTACTGATATGATTTTTCTATTCCAGTCAAATGGGTTGGTGTCGGTGCTGGAAGAGAGAGTGTCATTGCTCTCTGACGATTTAATTTAATTCGAGAATTATCTGAGCGCACCATTTTCTGTGTATTAATAAGGATAATTAATGTATTGTTGATTGTTAGAAGCTGATGCGCACAAAATCATGGAAAAAAACAAACTGTGTGAAAATTTTGAAGGAAGAATTCTTGTAAAATGCTTGAAATCAATTATTTAATTTGTTTAGTCTGAACTTCTTAACTTAATTTGCAAATTTTACCAATCAATTGTAATTATAAAATAATTATCTTCACATTTCTTCGTTCAACAGTATTTTTCTTTTTTTTTCCACACCTCAACATTCATTCAATAAATAAAAAATAATAAATTACCCGCTAACTCCAGCAGATGATGATAAATACAATGAATAATATATTCGATTCGTCATAGAAATGCAGAAAAATACGATGGAAGAATAAAAGAAATTATATTTCATCTAAATAATGTCGAGTAAAGGTCCATAAGAAATCAGTCACATTTCAGACTGACTTATTCCGACAAAATTGAATTAAACTGAATTGTCATTCAAATCATGATCTACTCTATCAATTCAACAATTGAAGTGAACCACCTCCAGCATAAATACTTTGAATCATTTATTTGTTTACTCTTCATTTATTTCACCTCATCGCTATATAAACTCACGTCATTCTGTCACTCAGCGATTACTCTGTTAATCTTGTTATTACTCTGGTAATCTTCCATCACTCTGTTAACTCCTCACGGACAGGGCTCTTTTGTTTCCAAGCGTCAAGTACCCTCGATACAACTAGAATAAATAACGCGCAAGCCATAACGTGATTTGCGTTATAGTCGTTATAGCGTTATTTGCGTTACGTTATAATGCCATATTGTAAAGCAATAACTTCTAATCAACAGAAAATTAAACCGAAACCGATATGTGATTGAAGCTACAGTATTCCTTTTTTCGTTGTTATTTGTTTGGTTGAGTTGAATTCCACAGTTTAGGAAATAATCAATTTTAAAGAGAATCATTCATATTTTCATGGGTCGATGCATGGCATCGAGCCCGTCCGTGAGGGGTTAAAATTGATTGTGATAATATTGTATATCCCTGGTTATTATCGCCTCATCCCTCACATCCCTTGACATTTAAATGAAAATCCATTGAGATTCAAATTGACGTTAACAAAATGAAAATGGAATCGGAAATTGGCATGAAAGTAAGAGCAGCGTGTGAATGCCAAACAAGGGCATCAAAAACCGTTAAACTTGAATTTGTCTGCATCTAATCCTAAATCCTACGAAATACTTAAACTACTCGAGACCTTGCTCTCCCGCCGATCCCTCGCCCGTCGATTCTGGAACCAAATCTTGACACGACTCTGCGGCAGCCTGAGGATTCCCGCCAGCTGCAAAACATCCTTCCTCGTAAGATATGGCCCAGTCTTGTATTTATCCTCAAGCACCTCCAGTTGAAAGGACGTGAAAGGTATCCTGGGATGGGTGGCCGGCCTCCTCTTGCAGTTTCTGGTCCCGGAAGTTCTCCGGGGTAGTCTCGGGGGTCTATACCTCGTGCACTGAAGCCACTGAAGGTCACTGTGCACCCCCAACTCCCCGCACATATCCAAATTCGAATCTTCAACCCGAGATAAATTCACTTTTTCATCTTTTCCACACGAATTCACGAGCCTCAGCCGTTGTTCGTGAACATTGTCTCCGAGAGACGCCTCATTCTGATGCTCAACCGTGATAACGTCAACATCATCCTCACGATCAAATGGGTAATCATCTATGTTCGATATTTCTTCACCATTTTTAATCCCTGGAGATGCGTTCGGGTCATCTGAGAGTATTCTCGCAATACTAAAGTCACTTTTTCGTCTCGCGTGCGACCCCGACATGTTCGCAGGACCAACTGAAATCTCCAAAGGTACTTCGCCATTATATATCCTGAACCAGTAACTTTTTTTCGCTATTACTGTATCTATTTAGTGAATTGAGAAATTAAACGCCTAGTTGCACACCCCCTAGATGGCTATCGCATTACGCATTTGCTACTGGGCTTTACCACAAATCCCCTCCCCTTTTGATACCTGTCTATTGTTGTATGCTCTTATACCAGTGTATTATATCAACGGGAATCTTTCATCCCTCGGTGCAATAACAACAATGTAATTGATACCACTGGCGGTTGTTTTTTTCTTCTTTCGGTTTGGATTGAGAGGGTTCGAGTGGAGAGCATGATGGGCCAGATGTCCTGGAGGCAGTCTTCCGAGAGTAATTTAAAAGCCACAGGGGTCAACTAATCCGGTAATACATATATCGTATGTTGGGTAAACAGATGAGGAGAACAGAGTTTTCATTCTCTCTGGGGGATTTGGTGATTGGGAAGATGATGAGAGTTTTGGGCAGGGGGAAGAGATGATGCATGTCAATCATTTATTGATGAGAATATGGGGATTCGTGGAATTATCAAAGGCATAAACATTTTGCACTAGTTCGTGTTATTCAATGTCAAAAATTTAATACCAGAAGGTCATTTCTGTCACAAAACATTTAATCATTTTCATCACGCTGTGCGAAAAAGTAGCTTTTTAGGCACGCTTCGCATGTCTAAAACGTCCCTTTACCACACATTGTGATGAAAAATATCGTTCGATACGCGTACGGAAAAGAGTTTTTGGCTCGTGGGAGGTTTATAGCACGAGCCGAAGGCGAGTGACTTTGCTATTTTGCTTCCGAATGGAAGCACTGTAATCGCTTAAATTTAAGTTTTGGATTTTTTGTGTTATATCGACCAATTTTTTTACCCGGTCCGTACGTGTGTGTGTATGTATGTATGGGTGCGGTAAAGTTTTTCTTCAATTGGTCGCTAATGAATGGATCGAATTGAATTTTCTTTTTTTTTTTCAAATGTAGGTATTGTTCAGCCCTATCGATTGGCGTTAATTAGATTTTAATTCATCCATTAATTTATTTTAATTTTTAATTTTTTTTGAAAATTGTTTGTCCCATCATAACTATAAAAAAAAGTTCTGAATTGATTGAATGATGGCTTAAAAAATTTGTTTGGATGTCCCTTGGATCTAGTTTGAAGATGAAGGCGATAGCAATAATCGTTATTTTGATTTATTCTAAAATGTTAAAAAAATGTATTTTCTGAAAATTAGAATTCAGGGGATATCTTTGAATATCATGCTTCAAATGAATTCAATCATAGCTTAAAATGTTTGTTTTAATGTCATTAAGTCGAAGTTAAAAGGTGATTATGATAGCTATATTCGTTGGTGATTTCATTTTTATTATGTTTGTTGAAAATTTTTCATTTTTCATAAATTTCCCTGAAAGTAAGTTTCTTCAAAGGTAATGTTTCAAATTAATTTCGTTTTCGTTATTTTACATCGCTTCGACCCGGTTAGGGTATATTGCGATGATGATCAAGACTTTAAATGGTTAGATCGCACCATTCTACCCGGCTGGGATTTGAACTCGGAACCTTTCGCATGTGAGGCAACGAACTTACCCACTACACTGCGCCAAGCCACCGGGCAAAGTTTCAAATTAATTCAAGTATGTATAAATAAAATTTTTCTATTAACATTTTATTGAAGGGCTGAGGGGAGAGATAATACTATAGACAACACAAGAGCAATTTCCCACTTGTTTACTGGCGAAATCTTTTTTCATTTATCATTGTATTTTTTTTTTTTATTCAGCACGAATCTCACAGCAGTAGCCAATGACAGGTATAATATAAAATCTAACAACGATAGACAGAAAATAAGTATCATATTACATATGTGGTTGCACAATGCAGAGGTCTGTTTTTTATGCTATTTATACTGGAGAATTTCATCATTGTGCAACATTTTTATTCGTTTTTTCTAAAGTTTTGTGAATTTTTGTTTCTAAAAAACGCAAAAAAATTGTTGTACAATGACGAAACTTCACGAGTCATTGAACAATGATAGAAAGTAAAAACGGTATATTTACTGCATCAATAATTTGGCAGAAATTTGATCAACAATTTGGGAGAAATTTAAAAATTTGACGGAACACTGACTGAACGGGAGCTATTCATCCTTAAACTGTGGATGATAGAGAATATCGCACAATTATTTGTAAACAATTATTCTAAATACAGGAAGTGAACCGCAATTTGAAAATAGACTTTTTTACTGGCCAACGTACTAAAATCTGCTCGTACCCACGGTTAGGATTGGCGAAAACTGAAAAAAAATGTAGATTGCAATTTTATGGATAAACAGTGTCATGCATCGTATAATTAAAAATGTTTAAAAACAGGAAGACAAATAACATTTTGCACTGTGCGAAGGGAATATTCCATTACAATGTTGATTTAAAGTAAAAAATGATGAATCGTTTTGATGCTTTTTGACTTTATTTCGTGGGCGAATGCAGCTTATTATCACGTTATCAAGGGCACTAAATTTCTGAGGCATAAGAATCCTGAGGACTTTCCGAAGGATATCGTGAAGAAAATGCTGAATGTCTTCCCAGATAATTTCAATATTTCAATAAAATATCCATGTGAGCTGGAATGCAGGGTGAGTTGATAGATGAAATAATCATGTTGTTGAAACATTTTCTAGGGACCAAAAGGTGTGAAGAAGATAATCATGTGAAAAATGATGATGACTTTGGAGAATACCCGGAAACGGATAAATGTTGCCGCTATAGGGTTTTGGGTTGTAAAGGAATTCCGCCCGGTGAAGCGAGAAATGCTCGTTAGAGAATGAACATCCATTTCTCGTGTAAGCAAAGCATTATTTATGAGTAAAGTTTTCAAAGCTGTACCAAATGGAGTCAGCACGTTACATTTTGGTGGTTATATTATTATTACATAATAATAATCCGATAAAATTTTTAGTTTCCAATTGTCAATTTCTGTCATTTATTCTATTCATTTTATGAAAAGTTGAGAATAAAAATCGAATTTATGGGTATTTTTCCATTATTCGAAAAAAATCGACTTGAAAACTTTCCGGAGACATAAAAAATTAAATTTTTTAGTTCTTTGCGTCCACTTTTTTTTGCATTTTATGAATTTCTTGTCGCTGAAATATTCGTATCCCTCTAATACTTGAAGAGAAAAAGTGATTCCAAGTTCCCGTCGACATGAAAGGAAAAAAAACATTTTCTAACCGATTATCCCTTTCTGATTCTTTTTTCAATTTCCTCTTCATAATATTTGGAATCTGACCATAGGAATGAGGAGTACCGATATCCTTTTACCATATGAAAGAAAAAAAATTTTTTCTGAAAATTTTTAGGCATGCATGAAGAGATTTTTCTATTACCCGAATGAAATTTCGAATGACTTTTGATTTATATGTGTTTGTTTTGAACACAAAAAAAACCGCTTTTGATTGATCTTTAACATAATTTCTTTTCGTTCAATGTTGTAACTTGTGAGTGAAGGACAAGTGTGTATATATAATAAGAATAAGAATGGATAAAAGTAAATTAATCTAATTGTGAAGACGGAAATGGAAAGAAAAAAAATAGTATAAATTAATCTAGCAACGGGTGCAAAACGCCATTCAGTAGCGTATGGATATCCAAGTCTCTTTGAAATTTGTGTGAGAAAAATTGGCAAAAAATCATGAATATTTAGGGTCATTCAAATTATATTTGAATTATAATTTTTTAAAACATACGTTGTTTATAAATAAATGAATAAATAATATAAATAAACTTTCAGAAACCTTATTTTTTTAGACACGAGATCAATTTCTGGTAAAATCATGAATATGAATAAATTTGTTACGATTCCGAACAAATAATTTTTATGGTGGAAAATTTATTGTTTATACTTTATATATAGAAAATGCTCGTAATTTTTTAATTATTTTAGCAATCTTCTTCAAGAGTAAACATTCAAATTCAAATTATACACAGAAAAATAACATAAATTGCGGTTTCATTGGGATATTACAGATAATTATTGATGAAGCGATCGCACACGAGTAGTGAAGCGTAGAGGAGAATTATAAAAAATATTTGATCATAATTATTGATACCCAAATTCCAAATTATTTTCTGTTACAGTCCCAAATTATTTTGCACCGATTTATGCAAATTTAAATGACATAATTTGACCTGCTAACTATACGCCATATAAAAACAAATTAATTTTTAGAAAACTATTAGTTCCAAAATTATAAAATTATGTTCCTAAACTAGCCCAAATGATTCCCAAATCATCTTAAGTGATTTCATTATAGAAAATTAATTATTCCCTTACTGAATATATGGCCTTTCCGCATCAGAAAGGTCCTGATAAGACAGGTTCCTCTCGTACCAACGATTCTATGAGAATCCGCCCATCAAAAAGCGGAAGTGCATACATGGAGATGCGCACGACGACGAAAATGCTGCTTCACACTGTGGTCCGCGTCCTTTTCCGGTTCGCTCATTGGAGTGGCTGTGTCTTATTTAGTTTTAGCTGTAATTTAATCTATCTCCATCTTCCAAAATGAAGATCTACAAGGATATATTCACCGGTACGTACCATTTTACATATTTCTACGTCATCTTCTTATGTATATTTTCGTTGTTTGTTGTTTCGGGAGCGATATACGAAGGGATAAAAAATCAAGATTGACAATCACATAGTGACATATATTCACCCTCCCTCCTGTCAAAATTAATTTAGCATTTCAGATTTCATATCTCTATTTCTAATCCATTCACTTAATACCATATTTTTATGAATGGGGGAAAATTTGTAGCAACATGTTTTTTTTTAATATGGTAATGACCATAACCTATCCATTTGACACTCATTATTTTGATTTTCAGGTGACGAGATGTTCTCGGACACTTATAAAATTAAACTTATTGACGACGTGTTGTACGAAGTTTACGGAAAGGTGAGCAAATATGCATTATTATGAGGTGTTATTATGTTTAATTAATTTATGGTATCTGGATGGACTATCCGTCGTATGTGTTGTGTTGCTTATATGATATGTAATTATTTTAGTAGTCGATCGGTAGAATATGATTGGAAAATTTTCGCTTGAAGATCAAATTAATTTTGAGCAAGTATATCAGAATTTATTGGAAATGATAATATTCATACTTGGAATTTTTTATACTTGATAGTGAGAGCTACAAAAAAGAACTGAATGGAAATTTCGATAGCTTTTGCAGATTATTTCGACACCTTAATAACAGACAAGCGTATCTACATAGGGAGCTCATAGAACTTACGTTTGTCTGTTAGTAAGAGGTCAATTTGATTTTTCTACACCATTTCTGGATTATTAATTATTCCATTATTTCAGTTGGTGACTCGTAAATCTGGAGACATTCAGATCGATGGTTTCAATCCCTCAGCTGAAGAAGCTGATGAAGGTACAGAGGAAGGAGTCGAGTCTGGTGTCGATGTTGTATTGAACCACAGATTGGTGGAAACTTATGCCTTCGGGGACAAGAAATCTTATACTCTCTACCTTAAAGACTTCATGAAGAAGTGAGTGAGAACATTAATAAAATCAATCAAAAATTGTAATCTAAATCATCATCTTCAATATTTTATTCTTAAATTTTGGTTTTCTATCTCGATTTTTCATTTTTATCTTTTTGCTTTTCATTGCTAATACTTTATCTTTTGTATTTTTTTTGGCAGATTGGTAGCTAAATTGGAGGAAAAATCACCAGACCAGGTTGATGTTTTCAAAACTAACATGAACAAAGTAATGAAGGACATCCTCGGAAGATTTAAGGAACTCCAGTTCTTCACTGGTGAATCGATGGATATTGACGGACTCGTTGGTCTCATGGAGTATCGTGAAATCGACGGTGTGTCAACCCCAGTACTCATGTTCTTTAAACACGGTCTCGAGGAGGAGAAATTCTAAATTAAACGATAATTCATTAGATATTCAACAAATTATTGGATAACGAAATAAAAATTTTGTAAGTTGATGAATTGCTTCAATTCAATTTTACACGTATTTTGATGATGGCGTCTGGGGATTGGCGTTTTCACTGCACAGACGTGTGATATAAAATTGGTGATGAGATTCCCGGGCTGATTTTATGGTCAGACCGTCTAGATTAGCCAAACATTCCAGAGAAATTTATGAGAAAATCTTTTGTTGATTTTTCTCATATTGTTTCATATTGAATTATCACGGCAATGAGTGAAGATGTTATGAGATATTGTCATGGATAATTTCATGGGCCACAAAACAGGCCTGATAATGCTTCACCCTAAATCCAACAATTTCTCAGCTAACTGAGAAAGTATAGAATTGAAATAAATGTGTTGTCACGCCTTTGAGACTTTCAACATCACCAATTATGTTGATTAGTTAATTATCTCTATAATGAGTGGTCGTGCGAAAAAGATCTGAATAAAGTTATTCATAAACCATTCATTCTCGAGATAAATCCGAAAATGTAAAATTAAGGTTTATTTACGTAATTTTTTTATAATTTTCAGATAAATCCGGAATCAAGACTGTACCTTAGCTTCCCACGTTCTAGGGATAATCAGTGTCCAACGAACTCACGCAATTTAATTTATAGCGAATGATTATTTTTGATTTTGTAATTTTCTTTTTAATCACTTTGAGAATGTACATAAAAATTCTGTCAACTCTCCCATGATGAATGTAACGAATTGTCCAATACTGAAGATATTCCCTCGATTATTTATTATTTCTGAATAGTTTGAATGAGAAGATGGAGATAATTATGAACAAGATCCAGATGCTGAAGATTTGATATGATGGAATGAAATAAAATTGTTTTCGTGAACCCAATTGACCCATTGCAATCAATAAAAAATGTTTTCGTAAGTGATGAATAGAGTTACCTTTCACTCGATGTTTTATTCTATCAAAACTATCATAAATAGAGAAAATAATTACACTTGAATAATTCTGCTGGTAGTGTTTTATTTAAACGCATTATCCACAGAACACTGTATTCTTTCTAAATGATTAAAGAGGGACATTAGATATTTGTTATTTCCAAAATCATGAATTTTCACGTAAAAAAGAAGTGTTATCCTTGAAAATAGGACGGTAACTGCAATGACAATGATTCCACAATTAACTCCGCTACATTTTTCGTAGTACTTCGATGACCTAATAATTTTTTCTCAATTAAACTTTCATTAAAACATATTTGTACTAGTGTGTAATATTTGCAAGTTGATAATGCCAATTTATAATTGATGGATCAAAAGTTTAAATTATCCTACAACAAATTTATTCTTCAATTCGCTGACCAAGTGTTCATTACCTTTGAATCAACGAATTCATTAATTTGAGCATTAATAAAAAACATTTTTCTTTACAATACTTTACAGAATTAAACATCACCCCTATTCATTACTCGAATGTAATATTACAGACGATAAGATTATCGATGAACATCACGAGGACAAAACATCATGTATTCTAAATATCAACCGATAAAATATATCATTGTTACAGCCGAGAAAAATATTTTAGTTCCTCGGCCAATATTTGAAATTTGGTATTCGATGAAGATAACCTCTGTGTTGGTGCCTGATAATTTTGATGTTTTGCCCTGTCATATTCCGTACTGTAACATCTAGAGGTGCAATTCAAATGAATGAAAGCAATTACTAGGTTTTCTCATTACTGTATCGTGTAATTATGTCCTTAATCTACTGCAAGTGATCGTCAGGATCTTCATTAATTCTTCCTCGCTATGCTTAAGTTAATATATATCTCGGTTTTATTCTTACATATTTTTTTTCAACATTCAAATATAATTCATTATGAAAATTTTCACAGGTAGCATTCACGCCCTTGCTTTCCTAGTCAGGCAAAATAATTTCTTCCCCTGTAGTTTGTTTTTATTTATTTTTTTCAATTTTTTTCTTGTTGGATACCAAAACTATTGACTTTCACGTACGTCGAGGTAATTTCGGTTCAGGTTCCTTCCTCCACATTTTATTTATCCATTTGTCAGTGACATCACGAGAAAAATATTACAAGTGTTATATATTCTATTTCATTTCCATTATAGATTTTTTCTTCTATAATTAATTCTTTCGATTGTGATTATTGGTAATGCACTGGTGGGCATCAGGTCTCGATCAATGAGAAAATTAATAGAATCAAATGATGATAAAATATTAATTTCGATCTTTACAAAATTATTAAAATGAAAGTATCATAATTTACAATATGATCTTGTGTTCTACATAATCGTGGGTTTTTCTCTGCGATAGGCATCAACATTAAAAAACTCTAATCAAGTGTAATAACAATAACCAACAACTAACGATCCCCTACGCATTCACGCAAAAATAGAAATATCGATTCGATAATTATATCGTTAATAGTTAATCGTAAGTAGGTAATTTATTACTGTTTTTATCGATGAGATTAATGACAACAGCTGAGAGCAGGGGAGTCTTTTTCGTCTCAATTACAATTTGTTCGGTAATCAATACGTAGTGTTTACGTAAATTACTTTAGTGACATAATAGTGATGAATAAATTCAATTGCACGACTAATTTTTGGGGAATCTCTGAAGTCACATAGATTTACTCAGATTCCAAAATTCGTTCATTATTTGTTATACCTCTCTCAGCTGTCATCCAACTTTAGACGACAAATTTGTCAATAACAAATTTCAAGAGTCAAAGAGTCTACATTCTTGTTTAGATTTAATCGTTAATTGCCTATTTTTCCTACGCAATTCTTAATTTTCTGAAACGAAAGTACATTTATATTTTCTCGCAGTGTTTATGTGATCTAACGTCGATTAAATCGTTCAATGATTTTTTAAAAATACAAGACTTTCAGTTTTACAGTCGTCGACAAATTCTTTAGCTGCATGAGACGTATGAAAGTCACAGAATTTCTGTAAAATATATGTCTACGGATATGCTGAAGTCTGTTAACCTCGAAAGAATATTTATAAGAATTTTCATCCTCTTTCGGAAATAATTCGACGAACGCTCAGGGTTTTTTTATAGCCATGAAAAATTGAGTCTTTTAATTGATTTTTATAACCATCATGTGATTGTTAATACCCCGATTTCCTATGAACTCAAAATTTCCGTACAAAATCTTGGAAAAGTGAATTTCTATAGATCATTCCTAAGAAATTACTCGGAGCTTTATAAAATTATTTCCTATAGAGGCTCAAGATCTCTATAAACATTTTCTGATTATCAATAGATCGATTTCTCATAGAGATTGAGAATTCCTACAGAGAATCTGATAAGAATCACTTCCCATGGGAATCATCACTATAAAAATACTCTGAGATTTTCTAAAATCGTTTCCTATAGATTCTAAAAATCCCCATTAACATTATCTTGATGTTTACAGATGAATTTCTCATAGATAATTCAAATTCCTGGACACGGAACTATGGACATTATTCCTAGACATATTCTATAGGGCTGATGTCTCATTTCAAGAATATTTGACGGAATTCCCAATCTCTGCACAAAATGATTTTATAAATGCTCTAAGTAGTTCTATGGAGATGCTGTTTGAAAGCGTTCAGTCTTCTCAAATTTCGCATAGGAATTTCGATTCCCCATTGTGAATAAAAATTAGCCTATAACCATCCTGAAAATATTTATATGAATTTTCATCTCCTGTAAGAATTAATGTTACGAACATTAATCAGGATATTTTTATAGTTACGATATTTATAAAGATCGAGTCTGTGAATTGATTTCAATGGACTTCCTGCAGTTATTAATATACCTCAATTTTTTATGAAATCGAAATTTCTTTACAAACTTTGAAAAGGCCCAATTTCTCCAAACCATTTCCCACAGGTACTAAAAATCCCTAGCAAAATAATCCATCTATCGACACATTTTCCACAGAAATTTTTCACACGTAACAATAAGAGTCATTACACTTCAACCCCAATTTCTCCACCATCTTTCAATCCTCCTAATATACAAAAGAAGAAAACAAACAAGAATTCAATAAATTACCGTAATTTACACATTAAAATTTTTTAGTGGGCAATTGTACGTATATGGGTATACCCATGTATGCAACTACCTAAGAAACAATCTCCCCCTGAAAGAATCAAATAAAAAGCTGCACTTGGAATGTAACAAAAAAAAACATAAATATTTCCAAATATACAATTTAAAAATGTATAACTTCTCGAAAAAGGATTTCTCCCGAATAAACCATCGAATTAGTTAATTTTGCAGCAGTCCCGACTCTATGCTCCGCTTCTATTTCCCCTCCACTCTATTCTCTCAAACTCTGTTTTTTATTCACTCATTGGACATAAATAACAAAAAAATAGTGGATAAAACCTATCAATAAGTATCCCTGTTTGAAAAATAGCCTCGTCAAATCTTCCCCTCAGGTGCGTTAATCAGAAATAATTAATTGTTGCTCTAAAAAGATAATTTTCTGCTGTTGATTGTGGATTACATGTCGGTGTGCCCCAGTACGCGGCACACCTCCATCTCCTAAGGGTCAGCTGGACTCTCCAGAACTTCCATAAGAAAGGAATCGATGGGGACATCACCAATTAGTCTGAAGAAGAACAAGTGTTCGAGGCATTTGAGACCAATTGAACGCAGGGAGGGGAGACGAAGCAGGAGTTTGGCGAATCGTCCAGGTTCGTTGGGTTTCGTGATCCTGACGTAGTCCTCGAGGGCTGCGTACACTTTTTCCCGGAGGAGTTCTACTTCTTGGGCTGCTTTCAATCCACGAACCTCGGAATTAAACAGGATTATGGCTCTCAGGCAGCCCAGCTCGGTCTTGTCCACCTTCATCTCTCGCATTTTTGTCACTAGTTCTGAGAGAACTCGGTCGAATATCCTCTCGAGGCCAACCTGTTCAGCTGAATTTCTCTGGACGGTGATGCCTGTGGCCAGAACAATCACATCGGAGACGTCCATTGAGCGATGGGAAAAGGCTGCTATCAGCAGTTCATTCCAGCCTGCTCGTAGCAAGAGGACCTGATCCTCCAGGGGGAGTGATGTGAAGTGTGGAATGTGTTTCGCCCATTCCACTAGCTGGAACAACTGCTTGTTCGTGGCGTTACAAATACTGGAAAGGGCGTTCTGAAAAAGAAAGATTGTTAGAATGAATTTTAAAGACTTTAGGGAAACAAATCATAAAATAATTCATAAAATAATATAAAATAAAAATAATTCCCTATGAATATCAAAAATTCAGATGTTTATAGGTCGATTCCTTACAAAGAATTCAAAGTCCTATAGAACATGCCACATTTGAAAAATATTTTCAAAAATACCCAGTTCCTATAGAAAATAATGTTATAAATGCTCCAAGTAATTTTATGGCGATTAACAGCGTTTAGTATTCTCAAATTTCATATAGGAACTTCGATTCCTCAGACGAATCCAGCCTATAACCAACCAGAAAATATTTATAAGCATCCCGTTTAAAAACCAATTTTACGAATGGTCAGTGTACTTTTATAGCCATAAAAATTGAGTGAACATCATATGGTCATTAATACCCCGACTTATTAAAAATTTTGGAAGACTGCATTTCCATAGGTCATTGCCAAAAAAAAGACAATTTACGAGATTCTACGAACTCTATTAGATTGCAAAATATTGAACGAAGAGACATTTTGTTTCATCAGTATTTCATCATTCTTTCATTTAAATTTCCAAATGAATTTTCCTATCAAAAAATTACAAATTTATGCTTGAGAACGTGAAACAAGTTTTTTAATCTAGTAATTTTTCCCTAGAACTGGACAATATAAAAATTAAATTACATAAGAGAAAACTCGTGCACTCAAATTTTTTCAATTTCTTAACTGCACATTCTACAATAGACAGTCCATTAGTGAGCCTCCGAGGAAAGATTTCAGTTTTTATACATAAATTTTCGTCGAAGGCAGTCCCCATGAAGGAGTAAGTATGAATAATGCATGTCAATTACTTAGACAATATCGAGAATTTAAATTGGGTGATTGAATTTTAATTTTCTGGTAAATAATCAAGGACGCAGAAAGCATTAAACTTTAGCAGTTGTTTCCTCAATGTAATTTCCTCATTAATTTGGAAAATTTGTCGTCAAAAGTGACGAGGAACAATGATTTAATCATCAAGAAATTAGCATCTCAAATCAATGATAAAAATATTTTATTAATTGAATGAATAGAATTTTAGCGATAATGATAATGTAACTCACATCATAATTCCCCTGATGTTCCATTTTACACTCCACCCTCTTTTCAGCCTCTAAAATTCTCTCGACAGGCATATCAGAATGCAAACTACTGGTGCTCTCAACTTCACTCTGATCTCGTTCTTTTGTACGTTGTCTCTCCTCCTGCACAGCTTCCCGTTTCATTCCCATGGCTAGACATTTCTGATAACGACAGTATTGACAGCGATTCCTCTGTCTCTTATCAATAATGCAGGATTTTTCCTCGCGACAGGCATAAGAGAGGTCCTTCCGCACTGTTCGTTTAAAGAAACCTTTGCAGCCTTCACAACTGGAACGGTAAATTTTGTTTAGTATATTTTTCTGAGATTCATGCAGATGCAGACATGTTATTTAAACATCCTAAAATAACGGGTTTTTCTTTTTAATTTCATTTTGCGGATTTTGGATGAAATCCAGGGAAAAAATTTCTTGGTAAAATGCATGGGTTTAAGATGTTGAAGATTTATTTTTGTAACCGCTGGAAGTTAACGGTTTTGATGCTGATGTTTGGCATTCATCCACTGCTTTCTCTTTCACGTCAATTTCCGGTCTCATTTTCACCGTGTTAACGTCAATTTATAAATTCACCAAAATGAATTTCATGAGGTGATGTCTTGAAATCAAATTTATCTTATAGTATTTAAATCCCAGTGGATTTCCATTTCAATATCAATGGGTCTGGGGGCTTCAGCGATGAAAGGGAGGGATGTACAATATCATGACAGTCAACTCGTTTATTTGGATCGACAGAGTAATGTGAATTCACATAACGATGAGGTGAACGAATGAAGAGTGAAGAAATAAATGTTTCAAAATATTTCTGCTGGAGTTGATTCACTTCAATTGTTGAATTGATGGAGTGGATCATCATGATTTTAATGACAATTCAATTGAGTTCAATTTTGCGGGAATAATTGAGTTTGAAGTGTGAATAATTTTTAACGTAATTTTATGTAGTCGTATCGAGATTAAATGTAATATCTTTCGTTTTCCATCACGTTCTTTGGGATTTCAATGACGAATGGAATATTTTCTCAATTTTATTCATTATCAATTTCTGGAGTTATCGCAAAACTCCATATTTTATATTCATTAAATGAGTGTTGAAATATGAAAGAAAAGACGAATGATGCTGAACGAAAAAATATGAAGATGATTATTCAATAATTACAATTGATCAGTAATTTTTACAAATTGTTAAGGCGTTCAGACTAAGCACACTGAAGAATTGATTTAAACCATTTTACAAAACTTGTCTCCCTAAAATTTTTGTATATTTCTCCCTGATTTCTGATCTCTTTCATCAAGAGAAGATGAAAGCGAAATAGTGGGGCAAGTTTTGGGTGCATTAATACATTCACGAGTGATTAACCCGGTATTCCTTTGAAGTTTTTAAAACTCCGTGGCAATGAAATACGTCATAAACACATGAATTATCCCTCCAAGGTATTCATAAACGCATACAGATTCAACTGTGACAAGAAGTGTGTGATTAATTCACATGTACTCATTTCTCCGGTCGTATAAACCCGAGAATGATGTTTTTATATGAAAATTCACGCTGGTTGATCATAGAAGAAAAAGGCGTCATTCGGATTCTTGGTAAACGGGCGTGGATTGCTCAATTAGATGGCATTGGAGCGGAGTAACTCAGGAGGCCAACACTGCCTTCTGTCTTCTCATGTTTGTAGGAACTACGGGTGGGTAGACTCATAAACATGACTCTCAGCAAGTCCAAGGTTATCCTATGCCTTCGATATAAAATCTGCAATTCGAGGGAGAGGTGGAGGAACTTTTTATTTCCAAGCAGGATCTCATGTTCTCTCATGACACGAAATGTGCAGTCATGATTATTACACGCGTGAAAATTACGCGTTATTGTGGCACGTCATATTGCCGTGTGAAATTTTTTTTTGAGTTTTTATAATTTTTATAATTTCAAAGTTGGAGGATTGAATGAGGTAATGCAGGACTCTCCATCCTTAAAATTGAGTTGAAACAATAGAATTGTACAATGATTCTTGTTTTTGGAGACTTGAAGGAAAATAATATTAAACGTGTTATTGTTCGTGACGTGGATAAATTATCTGTGAATGTTGGTAAATTTGTAAGAATAATTGAGCAGAATTTGAATATTCTAGGCGAGACGATTAGAATACAGAAATTTTTTTTTGTGTAGAAATATCTAGGGGAGAGTGGGGTAAAATGAAACAGTCAAAAAAACGACTGTTAGATGCAATGCAAGAAAAAAAAAATTGTTTATTAAATTTTTTTTTGTCAATTGATTATTCGATTGAAATTCAGCATCACATTTTCCTTTTTCCCCCTATGGGTCTCCCTCTGGGTCTTACTCTGGACTTTGGATTTTGCAGTTTCATTTTCTTTTCAATTAATTCATTGACAAAATCTTCTGCCGTCAAAATTTGGCAATAATTTTCCATTCTACTGAAAGGAAAATTATTTTTCTCATCAGTACTCCCAAGAATGGAAAAAAAGTTGATAAAAAAACTATTTAATAAAAAAAATTTTTTGCTTGAATTGGGTCAAATAGTTGTTTTTTTGATTATTTCATTTTGCCCCACTCTCCTCTATGTTCTGGGTCATATTTCGATATGATTTTGTGATTCCAGTCAAATAGGCTCGTGTTGGTGCTGGTAGACAGAGTGTCATTGCTCTCTAACGATTCAAGTTGATTGAAGACCTATATTTTATCTCGATTAAACTATATCTATTGTTCTCTATATCATAATTGTTTGGGTTTAAATAAGAGCGATTAATATATCAGAAAATCATAGAGGAGAACAAATTGTATGAAAATGTTCAAGCAACTAGCGTAAAATCTCTGATATCTAAGCTTCTTAACTCAATTTGCAAACTCCACTAATTAATTAATTGTAATTACGACGGAATTATTTTCACCCTTCATTTTTGAACAGTATTTCTCTTTCCTTCCCACACTTCAACACTCATTCAACAAATAACCAATAGTAGATTTTCCGTTGACTCCAGAAAATGATGATGAATATCATTAAAAAATAGATAAAAATCCATAAAAATTTATTCACACTCCAAACTAAATTATTTCCACGAAATTAAATTTCGTTGAACTGTCAAATCATGATGATCCACTCTATCAATTCAACAACTGAAATGAATTAACTGAAGACCACATGTTCTGAATCATTAATTTCTTCGCTCACAATTCATTTACCTCTTCGTCCAACCTCAGTTTCGTTTCCTAATCATCATTTAATATGCATTCTTGTCCAAACAGAATTCTTATAATTAGATTGAAACTCGACAGACGAAGAAAAATCTAATCAATGCTGAGTGTAGATACATAATTGAACGATCCTTGGAATACTTCATTCATTCGTAAAACATGAGAAATGGATGAATGAAATAAAACAAGGGAAAAAGGAGGAAAGAGGCGTTTGAGCAAGTGTCTACTGAGTTGAAAAAGCACAAGGGACGCCCACGCGATTCCCCATCACTCCGGCCGAACGAGGACGTAGAAAAAAACCTCCCTTTTACCCTCGTCTGAATCCATTTCAACATTACGTACTAACAATGATAAAAAAATTTGAAGAAATAAGGGTGAGTCAGGTTTAGATGTGGACGTTGAAAAGCCTTAATGAGAAAATTTTTTGACATTGCTGGGGGGTTGTACAAAAGTGACTTGGCACATTATTCATCGGCCAACAATAAAGACTCACTGAGGACTATCAAGCTGAGATGCGGATTGCGTCCTTGAACAATCAGGCGGTTCGTTAAATACTAATAAGGTGAAAATTGGGGGAAGGAGTGGAGGGAAAAATTTGAAAAACTTGACATTTCAATGAAATGCAATTTCGTGGAAATACTTCAGTTTTACGTGTGAATAATTTTTTGTTATTTCAGTTACAGTTTACAGTTTACAGTTTGCTTTATTCTTGTATTATGTTTTCCTAAATTTTCATGCTAAATTGAACAATTCGGTCATTGTATTCAACATGTATTGAGGTGTGGAAAGGAAAGACAAATACCGGTGAATGAAGAAATGTGAAGATAATTATTTGATAATTACATTGAAGAGGGAAAAATTTTAAATTGTATTTTTTTCCAATTTCATTACTAAAACATTGCATGAAAATCCGCAATTTTGGCTAGTAACAGTCCACTTGGAAGTTTCAACAAAATTCCCTGACTTTTCCCGGTCAAAGTGATGAAATTCCCTAACTATAGAAAAGGTTTGTTTTTTTATCAAAGAATGTTAAATTTATAGACTCTAAGATGAAAAGCATTCTAGAACGCTTTAGTGGGGACACCGGCATTCCGTTGTAAAGGCCATAGGGCGGGGATATCGAAATTCACCTTAGAGGGTTAAAACAGTTGATAAACGTGGATCACCTGACGTAATCAATGAGCAATAGTTGGATCCATGCCCATTAATTCCTTTACCGAACGAAATTGAAAGGCAGACGTCAGTAAAATAAAATTATCTTTGATTGGCGAAAAGCCCCATCAAGTGAATTTTCGTCGTCATTTCCCATTTTCACCTTCAAAATTTTCCTTGCATCATAATTTTCATCCAATTCAGATTTTTTTTTCAATGCTCGTCAGACTTCAAAGAATAAAATTGAGTATTCGTTTTCCATTGCACAGAATGGATTGAGAAAAAATGAATCTTTTAGATTTAGTCTGTCTGCACCACTGGATTTTTTATACATTATGCAAGAACAAACAAACAATAGTGCATTAAAAGGAAAATTTTTTTTCCTGGGCTATTATCCATAACTTATGACGTAAAATGAGAACTTAATTTTATTTTCTGGAGTCTAATGAAAATTGCGGAATACAAAAATCTACATCACATGGAAATTGCGCAATAAAGGAAGTATGGCTAAGGGAATTTTCAAAGACTTTTCAATTTTAGCGAGGTCTCCCCTTAAGAGGTGATCACTCTGTCAACTTTTCAACAAAAATACGTACAGCGACGAAAAATGTATCTAGAAAATTAGGATGGTAACATCTCTCTAGCCGACCAGGTTCGAACTCTCAGTGTTTTTGCAGTTTGTATATTGATTGATGGAAATGAGTATTTTTAAAATATTTCCACCATCTTGACATTCAAGAATTCCTTTGAAAAGTAGAATGCTGAATTTAGAATTTTCCATAGAAAAACCACAAAAGCAGTGGGTTCCCAGTCTCATCCCACGCGAAGATGTTAACATCCCACTTGTGTAAGAAAATTTAAGATCAAATTCCCGGACAATGTTTTTTGGCAATAGAAGAATTCCCAAAAATTTAGGTACTTGGAGAAAACAAGCTGCAACTTTTAAAATTCCAAAAAGTTGTCGTAATTCCCTGACTTTTCCCTGGTCTTTCCAGGCCAATCAAATTCCCTGACAATTTCCAGTTTTCCAAATTTCCCTGACGGCTGGACACCCTGAGTAATTCCTTCCACAGATTCCTTGATTTTTTCTCATAGATATAAATATTCCACTGCGTCACTTCTTATTCTACAATCAACAAAAACGACCAGACACAAAAAAAGAAGAGAACCATAGAAAGAGTCGCCGGTAATTAAAGGTTTTTCTTCTTGAATAATGAAAGACAGTCAAGTTCTATAGAAGACCGAAGAAACACAAATGGAATGATTTCTTATGAACGATATTCCGTGACCGGATGGGTTAATACAAACCTGTAGACGCCATAGTGTTTTCCACTGGCCCGATCACCGCAGATCGAGCACAGATGTTTGCTGCCGGAAAGTGGATGATTCGGTGGATACGGTGAGCCAGCACCGGTCTTGCTTTGGCCGCCTGGCGATGTGCTCAAAAGACTACTGTGACATCCCATGGTAAATGACCTGGAAACGTGTAGGAATTTATTGGTCCATCAAGGATGATTTGTGGTCTCCACTCAACCACATCTCGGAGAAAAGAGCGATCGATAAACATCATGCATTGTCTTCTCAAAGAAATGTGTCACTCTCATTTTAAATATCTCGATAATCAATGGGCATGATTGAGACAAGTCGCGGGGGAAATTGAGGGATTGTTATTACGAATATCATGGTTTTTCACTCATGTCTCTATAGTTTACGATTCTGGAGACACTATTATTCGTTTGAGTAACTGGCTTGAGACCTTTAGTTTCTAAGAGCGCGTACACCGTGGAGCGTACCTATGCACAAACGTTCACATCCTGAGAACTATTATTTGTAGAGATGTGAGATGACAATCATGTTATTTCTAGTGAAATTATCTATATTTGTCAGACTCGATGGGTTGATAACTTTTCAATAGTTTTCGAGATATTTCAATTGACAGTGGGACATTGTAGCGATGGCGAGAGCACCTGTGCTCAAGACTGTATTTGCCCTGCATGTACACATGAGATTTTACGGCAATTACTATATCGCAAAATTTCGATAACAAGAACTAAAATTTTTGTACAATCTAGATTTTATATGTAGGGGAGAATGGGGCACAATGAAACAGGCGAAAAATAACTGTTTGACGTAATTCAAGCAAAAAATTTTGTTTTATTACATACTTTTTTTATTACATTCAGTAGCATGGAAAATTATTGAGAAGTTTTAACGGGCGAAGATGTTGTCAATGAATTAATTGAAAAGAAAGTGATACAGTAAAATCCAAAGTCCAGAGCAAGGCCCTGGGAAGGGGGAAAAAGAAAAATGTGATGATGAATTTCAATCGAATGAAAACAGGAAAGTATAATCGGCCTAATCTAATTAATTGAATTGTAATCAATTGAATTATAAGACGAATAAAAAATTATTATTCTCATCAGTACTCCCAATAATAAAAAAAAGTTAATAAACAAAAGTTGATAAGAAAAATGGTTTGTTTGCTTGAATTACGTCAAATGGTCGTTTTTTGACTGATTCATTTTGCCCCACCCTCCCCTAATAGAATTGAATTGAAATACCATCTATAAAATTTTCTTGAAAACTGCAGCTTCTATTGAAAATTCTGTCGAGGTGCTGTTGAGATAATCCTATGGATTATGTCTATGTTCTTTTCTACATGATCGCTCAGATTTCGGTTTTATAGGATTGTGACGTTCTATAGGAAATCTAGATTCAATAGGGAAAGAATGAATCAATTTCTATACGTTCTAATAGATTTTTTTTTGAAACGCTATAGTTTCGAATCAAATTTATGAAAAATTAAATAGCAGCAGCATAATCCATAGAATATCCTATATGACGAAAATTCCAACAACTTTAAGAATATTCTCAAAATCTCTAAAGGCTCCTGGATTAATCATCACTTCAATACCTTCACTATTTGACTCTAGTCTGGTCACGAAACGCGACTCTGGAACTTGGTCACCTCCGCGGGGATTCGCCGCCGTGTTATTTAGACTTTAGCGTTGCCGAATTCATTCTACACTCCGGGGCGCGTTTAGCGAATTTCCGGCAATGTCGCGTCATGTGGGCAATTTCATTGAACATCAGAAAAAATCATTCATCTATTCAAAATAATTTGTTTTCTTTAGGAATTTTGGGAAATATCTTATTCTAAAAACTACCATAATTTTTTAGATACTTCAACTGACATAGCCAATTTTTTTTTGCATTTTTCCGGTTAGCTAGTCAATTGTAATCGAAGAAAATGACGGGCGGCGGGCTTTCACTCATAGGACGATCAATCTAGGGTTAAATAGTTATGTATATGATACGGATTAATTTTCTTATCTGTCTTGGACGAATGAAAATACATATTGTCCATCTACAATTCTATCTTCATCCCTAACGCATATTCGTTTACACCGGCCAATGCCCGACTTACAATAATTACAATACAATTACCCCAAATCCAATAATGAAAAATAATGCCAACATTGTATGTAATACAACTGATGACAAGTCTGGGCAAGTGACCGCAATTTGCGTGACCTCTCAAAATTACATCAGGGCTACCGGATACAGCGATATAGACAACATACAATGCGCGAATGCAAAAGTGGCGTGACGGCCACACCAGACTCATCCCCGCTAATGTGCTTTTAAGGCTGGGATAAGGCAGACCTGGAGGAGATTGTGGTCACGTCAGTCACGAATGCTCGGGGGTCACTGATTTCTTTTTCTTTTTTAGGCTTTAGATTAATTGAGACTATTTTTTTTTACTTAATTTTTTATTTTCGAACCAATTCTTGAATTAGGGTATTTACATTTGGAGAATTATGCGGAGTAGACACGAAGACGGTTTTTGTTGCGTAATATTTACTCAGAATTATTTTAAGTGGAGAAATATCTTCATTTTGTCAGCAAATTGAGGTTTATTTTTTGGGGATATATCTTAGAATCGAATATAGTTGGCGAAATTTTTGTACGGAATTTTTGTCATCTGTCATCCTTTCTCGGAAATTTTCTCTCTACATTTGGTTTTCTAAACATCTCCACCTAAAACCACTTGTTATAGAGATAATTCATATTTAAAAGAAACAAATTTGTTCATTTTTAGGTTTTACATACGAAGTCGATTTTTACGTTTCTTTCAATATCGAATTATCTCGGTAACGGAGATTCAAACCAATAAAGTTAGAAGATACTTTCGTTGGAAATTTTATTCTCCAAATGTGTTCTCCCGCACCCACCCTTTTCGTAGGGGAGAGTGGGGCAAAATGAAAAAGGAAACAGTCGAAAAACTACTATTTGACGTAATTCAAGCAACAAAAAAAAGCTGATTACACTTTTCTTTTTTCATTTGATTGAAATTCAGCATCACATTTTCCTTTTTCCCCCTCTGAGTCTCCCCTTCGATCTTGCTCTGGACTTTAGATTTTGCTGTTTGATAGAAAATGTTCTTTTCCATTAATCCATTGAGAAAATCTTCACCCGTCAAAACTTCTCAATACTTTTCCATTCTACTGAATGGAAAATTATTATTCTCATCAGTACTCCCAAGAATAAAAAAAAGTTAATAAACAAAAATTGGTAAAAAAAAATATTTAATGAAAAAAATTTTTTTTGCTTGAATTGCGTCAAACAGTCGTATTTCGACTGTTTCATTTTGCTCCACTCTCCCCTAGATAAACGCCAAGTACTAGAATTACTTGGTTTTAATTTTTTTCCTTTCCAGATAAATCGCAGGGAAAACTTTTTATATTGTTAAAAATTCGCGACTGAAACATACTTTTAATCATTTACTTTTTCTTTAATAAATTCCCTGATTATTTTTCCAAAACTCACCCCGGGCTATTAGGTCCAGAAGGGCTGAAATTCCCGGAGTTCATGAGACTCGCAGTATCTGGTTTCATATCCAACGGACTCTGGGGCCCCACCGAGGACATCGACATGTTACTGCTGTCGAGGCTCAGCCCTGCAAAACAGTAAACAAACAAGAATTAGATAAGTTCATCTTCGATGAAAATTTGGAAATTAATCTACGAGCGAAGCTAAATGTCACGTGTGGAATTCCTCGATTAATGCGTGTATTTATTGTTCAATTCTCTTGTGGATATTTACGAACGATATCGTGATATGTAATTGACCAGATGGTGGTACAGGGTCAACCAGAGTGAGATGTCAGGGTGACAGCAAATGCCATGATCATCAATTATGCAACCAGTCGCGAGACCAATGATTTTTATGATAAATGAAAAAGATTTTTCTAGGCACGTCATTACCTGGAAAATGTCATAAAAATATTCTTTTCAGAATTTATTGAGATATGATGAATTTTATGGAGTTAAGTCCGATTTGAGGATTATATTTCGCTTCTGCCCAATTTTATATTCTGAACTAGAGGGCTGTGCCCTCCTCGCTTGCTATGTTTAGGCGTTCGTATTATATAGAAAACAAAATTGATGGAATGATGTACCTCCGTTGGAAAATTGAGGTTTTCATTATTTGCAAAAGACTCCAACCAACATCTTTTGCGGTGAGATTCAATCATTCATTTTTCCATTTATTTACATAGAATAGTGTGAGGTATACTCTTATTATTACTTCATGATTGTTGATGTTCAAAAATGACCTAAGCGAGCTTCAGCAGTTTTAGAGTAGTTGAACTTGAAGAAGGATTTCTCAAAGTGTAAATGATGTTAATCATGAAACACATGAATGGTCAAAAAAATTAAAAAAAAAGAATTTGACCCCTATATTCTCCCCATATGAACTCATATGAACATATTACAGACATAGAGATAATAATTCATTCTCAATGGCATCATCAAGGTCGCAATAAGGGTTAGAATCAGGGGCGCCTCCTGAATTTTCAAACCTCCTTATTTTTTTATTATTAGAGGGATACATTCATTATTTCTCAAAGGTTTTTAAAATTTTTCAAAGACCGTTCCGGCTGTCTTCGAAAAATTAATTTTCGTTTTTCGATGAATCTTTTTGCGACAGAAAAAAGATCTCCCAAAGTTTTTTTTGAAGAATTATTCCTCATGCAAAAACACAATTGTTATAACGACCCAACCGTGGTGAGGATGATGCCATCAAGTTCATCAGTAATTGCAATTGAACGTCATTGTCGCCCACAATTGTGATTGACGACCAGCAGATACGAGAATTTGACAAATTACTCGATCACTCCGAACACTAAATCATTTCCCTCGAACAACTGAATGAATTTTTTCACACTCCCCCAAGGTCCACAGATCACTCTCCTATCCCGAGAAAAAACGAGACAGACCGCCCGGGCACCTTGACCAAGCAAACACGTCGGTGCAACGCTCGAGAGCGCGGGCTATTCATCGTAGCGAATATACCCGGGTATTTATACCCGCGTGTTTACATGATAAACGCAGCCACACTGGATACATGTATGAAACCAGCATTGAGTTTTTTTTTTCTTCTCGGCTATTAATTTTTTTCCACTCGGGTGTACAGTCGGATATTATTTTGAAATGTTTCCGAACGGGTTACGACCTACGCTACGTCGGATTCGCTTGTACTGGATGGGTTCGTAGGCAGTTGTAACGATCATTTGAGTAATTGATGACGATTCAATTACACGATCAAAATGTATCCGATACATATCGGTGAAGATTTTGTTCTTTGAACTAATTTTATTTCTATGGAAATAGAAAATTTTGAAGAATGGTTCGCACAAAAACAAATTTAACGTGAATTACGTTTTCTCAAGCGTAATTTACAATTTACTAATTTACGCTTAACGTCAATATGATGTCGGGTAGATTTTTTCTGTCATGAAAATCGGAATTTAGGCTTCAAACAGGTGTTTCTTTTGCGATTAAAATAAAAACGTATGTTACACCCAAACAAAGCGTCTTTTGCGCTTACAATAACTTTTTTTCGCCGTTTATTACGCAGAGATAAACGTGAAATACCGAAAAAATCATCATAATTTACAAATACAAAACCGTAAATTGCATTTATGGAATCGTAATTTAAGAATACAAAATTGTAAATTACGATTACGTAATCGTCATTTTAGGCTATTTGGAACGTAATTTACGCAACAACTTCAACCGTGAAATACACGGAGAGAAATGTTCAGTAAAAATTACGGAACGCTCCGGAAAAATTCCGTGATAGTTCCGTAAAATTTCCTACAACCACATTTCGCTCCGGAATTCCCGAAAAGATTACGCAAATTTTATTGAATATTTCTCTCCGTGTACGCTTCAGAAAGTGTAAAAGACGACTTCTTAAACGTAATTTACATTTAGGTTTTTCTGTGTGTTAAATGAAGCATTTTTAATTGCCAATAACTTCAGATCGGTGAAGTTAAATCTGATGATTGTTTCTTCATTCTGAAGATATTTTTTTCAGGTCTGGAAATTGCATTTGGAATTTATTAAAATGGCATCACTTGATCAGGATATGTCGATCAATGAAAAATTTTGTCGTCACAGAAAAATAGTTTATCGCATTTCATATTACATAATACAAGACGTACAGAATTGAGTGTTGAATACAAATAATACTAGAAAAAATACAATGACTCATTCTACGTAGCCATATGCTAATTTTAGCAATATACACTCATCAATGACAAAAAATCACCTCAGCAATTGCCTCGAACATGACGAAACCGTCGCTATTTCGCACCTTCTCCCAGGTGAGTTGTTGAACTTTGAAATGAGCATTAATTTCGAACTAGACCAAACGAACATACGTTCAATGTCATTGTTTGAAGACGACGGCGAGAGTTCAACCATGCCACAGTTGGCTAGTTCAGGTGTGAATAGGTAAATGAACGGAGGCAGCCATTGTGTGAATGAAGAGCAGTTCGAAGACAAGTATAACAGAGGGAATAGGTATGCAAACATCACATATCGGAGACGGGTATTGTCGTCTAGGGAATTCATGTCGATAAAGTAAATAATGATGAGGACACATTTCAGAGACATATTGAATAATTGATAAAAGTAATTTTTTTGATCGTCTTAAGCAGTATGTATCCACTTTTAAAAAATCGAGTGCAATGATTTTTGAAGCTTCTATTCCGCTTATCAAGTAATGTAATATGATGTCTATGTATATTTTTTTATGTACTGTAATTTTTTTACCAATTAAAAAATGGAATACAATTCTGTATTATAAAAAAATGCATACCTGTATAGTATATATAGTATATATAATATTCTATAAGAAAAATAGTTCTCAATGGAATAAGTATTCTAAAAAAAATTCTCCATGAAATAAAAAATCAGTAGGAGCAGGACCAACGTCTTTGGCGCGGAGAAAATGATGGAGGAGTAGATTGATACAGACAGTGAGTTGAAAAACTCCGCGCCAAGAACGTTGGTCCTGCTCCTACTGATTTTTTATTTCATGGAGAATTTTTTTAGAATACTTATTCCATTGAGAACTATTTTTATTATAGAAACCTGATTGTGCACTATTACCATTAATTCAAAATTCCTGACTTGGCTTCCTTTTTTATTTCCATGTGTTTTTCAAAAACTTCGACTTCCCAGTAGGAATCAAACAAAACTTTTTCTTGGCCCAGTTTTTTAACAAAAACATTTGTTTTTGAGTTTTTAGGCAGATTTCATTATTTGTTCACAAATAAGCAGACTGTTTTTACACCCGGTGAAATTTGTGCTTTTCAATTCAATTTAACTCATTCATTTTTCATAAGATAGAACATTTTTTGAATCAACAATTGAAGGGAAATAAACAGTTCTACTCCAGATTTATTGTCTCCACCGAATTTCAATATTTAACTATCTATTAATAATTTTCTGACTTGATTTGGTTCCTCATTCAATTTTTGCTCTGATGATTCCTATGCGGATTGTATTTCTTGGAGAGGAATTGATTTCCTTATAGGAACAGTCGAACAAAATATTCACAAAGAATTCTTTTCGAAAACATTTGTTTTTGTTTTTTTTTTGTTTTTAAAAATATTAGGGAAACATTGGGTGGAATGGACTCTTCTGACTTCTTGGTTCAATATTTATAACCAAGGCACAATTTTATCGATTGAGCTCAATCTAAGCTTATTACAAAGGGGTTGACTGTAGTTTAATTTTAAAAAAAAATCTATTTCATCAACACTTCAATAAGACATCAACATTTTGAAAAGGGTTCAAAGTGTCCATTTAATCCCCCCGTCTGCTACTAATTTTTCCTAAATAATCACAAAAATTGTTCACATTTCACTGTCACTTAATTTAGTGAATTTTTTTTCCATGGAATGAGAACATTTTCTGTTACACTTGGAGAAAAATAAATATTTTCTTTTCGAATTTAACTATTCACAGACATTTAATACTTGATCACACAATATTTTCGACACATCTCACTTTTGTCACATTCCAAACATAAACCAATAACCTCACGAACAGTGCATAAACTACCTTTATGTCCGAGGTCCGCATATGAATATAGGTATGGTGGGATGAAATTCGAATTTTCGACGAGAGAAAATAAAATAGAACACCGAGTCAATTTTTCGTTTCATTCTAATAAGTGATTTAACGTGAAGAAGAACATTTCCCGTGGTTCTCCATAACAACATCACAACCCACATTCAAATGCACTGGTGGAAACACTTCAACGTTGGATATGAGGCTCAGTTGGATCGGCGCCGCCAACGTTACAACCTGATTCTCCGACTTTATAATGGGTGCGTTTCGGAATCAACTACCGTAGCTGCAGTAAAGCAAAATTAGATAGGGTTGCAGTACTGCTACTGCTACTACGTCGATTGCGAAACGCGCCCAATGTGAATCGCGAGAATGTGAATACCAAACCGTTGCTATGCGCGTATCTTTTTTACTGTTAATCCAAAAAATACCATAGTTACACCGTTGAGAAGCTCATAGGCGATTTATACAATGTAACTAACGACACTTTCCCGATTAGTCGTCCCGTTATCATTATACCGAATGTAAATCA